CAAAGCCTACCTAAACTGGGTAAGGCAAGATCAACTTATAGCTGCCTGGTTGCTATCTTCTTTATCAGAGAGTATCCTTGTTACCACTGTTGGCTTAAACACTTCAAGGGAGATATGGGAGTGTGTTAAAAAGGGTTTTGCAAGTCATAGTCTTGCTAGACAAATGCAGCTTAAGTTAGAGCTGCAAACTCTGAAAAAGGGTAACTTGAAGATAAGAGAGTACTTCAACAAGGTTAAAGGCATATGTGATCTCTTGGCAGCTGCAGGCCAGAAAATAGAAGAAAATGATCAAATCTTGCACCTCCTATCAGGCCTAGGACAGGACTACAATCCAGTTGTTGTCAACCTTACCTCAAGGACAGAAAAATGCACAATGATGGAAGCTTACTCAGTCTTACTCAGCTTTGAAAGCAGAATGGAGAGTTTAGAGACAGCCACTGAAAATGAAACCTCCTTCTTGGCAGCCAACCTGACCACTCACAACCAAGGTAGAGGAAGAGGCTATGGATGTAACAGAGGAAAAGGAAATAACCACAACTCAGCTTCAAGAGGCAGGAATGCAGGAAGAATGGGATCTTACAGAGTTAGAGGAGGTAGAGGTGGTTATGCATGCTCAAACCGAGCTAGATGCCAGATTTGCAATTACAATAACAACACTGCCAAGGAATGCTACTTCAGATTTGATCATAACTCTGTGTCCAGAAACCAAAATCAATCAGGAGGAGCAGATCACAACACCAACAACAATCTTGCAGCAAATGTGGCTAGCTTTGGTTCACAGGACAATGACTCTACACAAGACTTCTACTGGTTCCCAGATTCAGGAGCCACACATCATCTCACAAATGATCTTAACAACCTGAGTGTGTCCACTGAGTACAATGGGAGTGAAAGGGTCCACACAGCTAATGGAGCAGGTATGAATATTGCTCATATAGGTAACACTGTGATAAATTGCCCTCATTCTAATACACCACAAAATTTCATTCTTAACAACCTCATGCATGTCCCTCATATCACCAAAAACCTCCCCAGTGTCTCACAATTTGCAAAATACAATGATGTTTTCTTTGAATTTCATCCTACCCTATTTTTTGTGAAGGATATCAAGACCGGTGTTCCACTTCTTCAAGGCCAACTTAAGGATGGACTTTATTGCTTCAAGTTCAATAAAGACCCAGTTTCTCATCCAAGTTCTTATTTGTCACCAGTTTGCCTTTCTTCTAGTTGCAATTTGAATTGTTCTAATAATGTTGTTGCCCTTGATATATGGCACAAAAGACTTGGACATGCCTCTTATGATGTTGTTAAGGCTGCTTTAAACCATTGTCAAATTTCTTTTGTTGGTAATGCAAATTCTGGTACTCCTTGTGATGTATGTTTGCAATCAAAATCTCATAAACTCCCTTTTCATGCATCTGATGATAAATGTTATGCACCTTTTGACCTCATTCACTCTGACCTTTGGGGACCAGCACCTGTGGTTTCTCACAAAGGTTTTAGATACTATGTGAGTTTCATTGACCACAAAACCAGGTTTGT